TAAAATAAAACAGGAGGGGGAAAGGCAATTCCCAGGATGGATGGGAGTGGGAAGGGGGGGATGTACAGAGCCTGGTGGCTGCTTTATGGTGGGGAATAAAACCTGCAGGCTTTCCCTGTCGGCAAACACGGCGCAGGTTATACGAGTCAATTAACCTGGGAACCTCCAGAGCTGTTTTTTCTTCTCCCTGAGAGCCTGTGCTGCTGCCTGGCAGGGCTTTCCTCCTTGCCAAGGGTGGTTTTGCTCCCATCACTACCACACTTTTCATTCTGGATTGTCCGTTGCTCGACGTGGGTGAATTTAAGGAATCCCTGGAAGGAATTGCGGGGTTTGAAGTGTCCAAGGCCAGGTTGGAGCACCCTGGGCTGGTGGAAGGTGTCCCTGCCCATGGCAGGGGGTTGGAACTGCATAATCTTTGAAGTCCCTTCCAACTCAAACCATCCCATGGCTCTGTGATCCGGAATAAAAATCAAACCCAGCGCACATGAAAGTTGTGCAGGTTCAGAGTTTGCAGCTATTTAAATATTAAAGGCCAGGGTTGTGTTCCAGGAGAGGCTTTTTGATGTGATTTCATTGTAAGCCTGTCAAACGCTTCGCCTTTAAAATCCTCTTCAGGCCTAAGTGATTTAAAATATTCCCAGGTTGTCCCATTAATTGTGTCATCTGGAAAGCAAAGGTTGGCTTGAAAGAGCGTTGAGGTTCATTATTCGAAATCTTAGAAATTAGGAGTGAGAGCGAGGCAGGTTCTGGGGTTTCTTGATGTTAAATGCTGCTGACTTCTAAAGCCAGGTTCAACCTCCTGGCTGGGGGAAAGCCACACTTTTCTCCCTCACAACATAGAAAACCTTTTAATTAAAATTTGGACGCCCCAAACAAACGTTGAGGGGTTGGTACGTGCCCGGGTTAACCATGCAGGGCCCAGGCCCTGGGGCAGAGAGTGACATTCAGGTTACAGGACAATTACTTCTCTAATTAATTCCCCAATTTTTTAGGGGGAATGTTGTTTTGTGACTGGTGCTACACCACAGGCTGGGGTTAGGGGGAATTTGCTGCTTGGACCTTGGGTTTTTCTCTCTTGTGCTTGGGTGAGACCCCCCTGTAGAGCTGGCAACAACAGCACAAGGACGTGGAGCTGCTGCAGAGAGTCCAGAGGAGGCCCCGGAGATGCTGCCAGGGCTGGAGCCCCTCTGCTCTGGAGCCAGGCTGGGAGAGCTGGGGGGGTTCCCCTGGAGAAGAGAAGGTTCCAGGGAGAGCTGAGAGCCCCTGGCAGGGCCTAAAGGGGCTCCAGGAGAGCTGGAGAGGGACTGGGGACAAGGCATGGAGGGACAGCACACAGGGAATGGCTTCCCACTGCCAGAGGGCAGGGACAGATGGGATATTGGGAAGGAATTCTTCCTTGTGAGGGGCTGGAATGGATTTGCCAGAGAAGCTGTGGCTGCCCCTGGATCCCTGGAAGCGTCCAAGGCCAGGTTGGAGCAACCTGTGCTAGTGGAAGGTGTCCCTGCCCATGGCAGGGAGTGGGACTGGGTGATTTTAAGGTCCCTTCCAACCCAAACCATCCTGTGATTCCATGAATTAGTTCTGCCCAAACTCGCTGGGTTGGTCCCTTCCAACCCGAACCACCCCATAACTCCATCCCCCCGACAATCCTATTGACTTCACTCCGATCTGCGTTGCCAAATTGCACATTTTCATCGGGAAAACAACTTCCTCTGAAGAACTCGGAGCTTTTAGCCCATCAGTCTCCCGGACACCTCCATCAGCACAGCTTGTTCGTTGATTTTAGAGCCATTAGACAAAGCTCTCCGCGATCGCTGAAGGGGACAATTAGAGCAGCAACCACCCAACAATCTGTTTCACACTTTGCTTTCGTCTGCAATCTGCTGGGTTGCTTTAAATATCCCCCAAACTCCTCGTGTCCTCTTCCCCAAAGTGTGAGCTGCACGCAAAGTTTGCCTACAAATCCTCCGTGGAGGGAGAGCCTTCCTCGAGATTTCTGCTTCGTGACAGTATCTACAATCTGCTCCTAAATGCCCTTTTCCTCCCTCCCCTCCCTTCCTTGGTTTTTTTCTTTCAAAAACTGAGGGAAAACTTTTATCACATGCAGTGAAATTTTGTGGTTTTGTTTAATTAGACTGAGAGCCGAGGAAGGTTTTTCTATGCCCCCCCACCCCCAGCCTGTGCTGAGCTGAGCTCATCATGCCTTGCCTGAACCCCAAATTACAGAGAGGGCCCTCTGGTTTTCTGCACTAAAAAAGCAAAAATCCCCAAAGAATTGTTGTCTTGGCAAAGGAGAGACCATCAAAGGGTCATAATCAGGGACATAGGATCTAGCTGGAGACCTGTCACTGGTGGTGTCCCCCAGGGTTCAGTCCTGGGCCCAGTGTTCGCTTGACCTGGGGACTTGGATGAAGGGTTGGTGTCTCCTCACCAGGAGTTTGGTGATGGTGCAGAGCTGGGAGGAGCAGATGATCCCTCAGAGGGTTTTGTGGCCCTTCAGGAGGACCTGGACAGGCTGGAGAGATGGGCAGAGAAGAACCAGAGAGGGGGCAGGAGGGGATGGACCAGGCTCTGCTTGGCGGGGGCCCAGCGATGGGACAAGAGGAACGGGCAGGAACCGATCCCAGGAAGCTCCACCTGGGCACAGGGAAGAACTTTGAGCGCTGAACAGAGACCAGAGACAGTGTGGAGTCTCCTCATTGGAGATATCCCAGAGCTGTGTGGACACAACCCTGTGCCATGTGCTCTGGGATGGCCCTGCTGGAGCAGCGAGGTGGGACCAGAGGACCCACTGTGGGCTTTTCCAGCCTGACCCATCCTGGGGTCGTGTTCAGGAAAAAGAGGATGGAATTATCGTTACCTGATAGCACAG